GAGGGCGGGGCTCGGAGGTGTGGAGGCCAATGGCGGACGGCGAGATGCGGCGGGGTGGGAAGAACAGTTGCCTCACGCCCAACCCGAGGCTCCGGAGGAGGCTGGGGAGTGAATTTTCTGGAAGGCGACTTTAAAGGCGCCGGGCCAGAGCGAAGGGCGTTTTGGTGCCTGTCGCCGTAGCCGCCGCCCTGGTCGGGAAGGGCGCCTTAGTGGCAGAGAGCGAGCTGCATCGAGGACGCCGGGGCATCAGCTGGTGACCCCGCAGGATGAACCACAAGAGCAAGAAGCGGATTCGCGAGGCCAAGCGGAGTGCGCGGCCGGAGCTCAAGGACTCGCTGGACTGGACCCGGCACAACTACTACGAGAGCTTCCCGCTGAACCCGGCGGCCGTGGCGGTGAGTGGGGGCCCGGGCGTCCGCACCTTCCCTTCGGGACCCCCGAGGCCCGGACGGCCGGGCGGACCTCCCTCCTCACACCAGGTGGCGGGTCGCCTCTGACCCCTCGGGTGGCGGGGACCCTGGGGAACCCGGCTGTCAAAACCCACACGTGGAAGAGAGATGCTGTGGCTCCGGGTGCAACGTGGTCACAAGCACGTCCCTCCCCCGGGGGGCGGGGAGCCGGAGTCCCATTCCTTGGCGATGTCTGTCGCTGCTAATTGGCCCTGGGAGACACCCTTGCCTGCCATCGGCCTTTTTTTTTTTTTTTTTAACTGGAGAAGTCTTTTCTAATTCCCTTAGGATAACGTGGAAAGGGCAGATGCTTTACAGTTGTCCGTGGAAGAGTTTGTGGAGCGATATGAAAGACCTTACAAGCCCGTGGTTCTGCTGAATGCCCAAGAAGGCTGGTCTGCACAGGAGAAATGGACACTGGAGCGCCTAAAAAGGAAGTACCGCAACCAGAAATTCAAGTGTGGTGAGGACAATGATGGCTACTCAGTGAAGATGAAGATGAAATACTACATCGAGTACATGGAGAGCACTCGGGATGACAGCCCCCTTTACATCTTTGATAGCAGCTATGGTGAACACCCCAAAAGAAGGAAACTTTTGGAAGACTACAAGGTGCCCAAGTTTTTCACTGATGACCTATTCCAGTATGCAGGGGAGAAGCGAAGGCCTCCTTACAGGTAAGATATTCTACTGCTCGGTGCTTAAAATCTCACCTTGAGAGCCCAGTGTGGTGGCACATGCCTGTAATCCCGGGACTCCAGAGGCTGATGCAGGATGATTGCTGAGAGTTATAAGGCCAGCCTGAGCTACATAGTGAGACCCTGTCTCCAAAAAAAAAAAAAAGAACTCCAACAGAACTTGGTGCCAAAGTTCAGTCTGCTGCTCTTCCAGACAGTGAGTGGTTCTCCCACAGCTGCACATTAACTTTTTAGGGTCCTGTTCTGGGGAGACTGATTTAATTGGTCGGGGGTGCCCTGGGACATCCCGGATTAGTCAGACTCCTCAGGTGATCTGCATGTGCAGTGGAAGTTGACTCACTGACTTCTCAGGGAAGTTTCAGCAGTCAAGGTCCAGGGACACACTACCACGGTGATTCCCATCCCCCTGTGGGAGATCATCCTATGCACACTTCACTTAACGTGCCTGTGTACCAAAATTTGTATAGTCTGAAGTATCCATAACATAGTATTTAATATGTAATGAGAACTTAGTCTTGTTTTGTGCCATGTACCTATAATTAAAATCCCCTTCCCTCTTGTTTCTGGTTTCTGTAGGTGGTTTGTGATGGGGCCACCACGTTCCGGGACTGGGATTCACATTGACCCTCTGGGAACCAGTGCCTGGAATGCCTTAGTTCAGGGCCACAAGCGCTGGTGCCTCTTCCCAACTAGCACTCCCCGAGAGCTCATCAAGGTGACCCGAGAAGAAGGCGGGAACCAGCAAGATGAAGCAATTACCTGGTTTAGTGTCATTTATCCCCGGACACGGCTTCCAACTTGGCCCCCTGAATTCAGACCCCTGGAAATCTTACAGAAACCAGGAGAGACTGTCTTTGTCCCAGGTATAGCTGAGCCCCTTGCTGGCCATGGATCCCAGGCCATCCTCTGCCCCTGAGCTACACCCCACCCCACCCCAGTACATTCTTTGATTGCAGTAATTTGTGTTGTCATTTCTGAGTAGAACTGTATTTAGAATGAGTCTAAAAAGGGCCATATACTTGCCATGTAGATGAAGTGACCTAATCTGGTGACACTGTGTAGCAGAGTCTCAATGGGACAACTCTTAGGCAAGGTGAAAGTAATTGTGTCTCTGTTACCTAGTATCTCTTCAGTGTAACACTTTGCCTGTTTCTATAAAGAGGGGTTAACAAGTGAAGCTTAGGGGAAGGATTAAGGTGAGGGTCCTCCTAGAAGCGAAAGAACTTTCTGCCTTTACAGTTTTATGAGGCATAGCTCTGGGTTACCAGGGCTCAGACTTTTGGTAAAGGGCCAGAGTAAATATTCTAGGCTCATATAGTTTGTCTCACATTTGCTTGACTCTGGCCTCTAGCAGGAAAGCAGCTGAAGACAGTATCTGAAGGGCTGGGTGTGGCTCTACTCCAGCCACATTTTATGGACACAAACAGCCCACTTCCAGTCCCTGGTTCAGCAGCGTTTACCGAGCTGCATCATGTATCTGTGAGCTGTCCCTTCTGGATAAGAAGGGCCAGCTCCTACAGTCGGTGTTACCCAGTGCTTGCAGAGGACCAAACTGTTGAACCGTTTATTTGTTGGGTTTCAGGAGGCTGGTGGCATGTCGTCCTCAATCTTGACACCACCATTGCCATCACCCAGAATTTTGCCAGCAGCACCAACTTCCCTGTTGTGTGGCACAAGACGGTAAGAGGGAGACCAAAGTTATCGAGGAAATGGTATAGGTGAGAAGCATTTCTTTCTTATTTTTGCTTTGTTCCAACTCCTACCCTGGAGGTAAAAAGAGCCCTGCAGTACTCAGTGCTGAACGCAGAGGCCTGGGAAAGGCTGGGGCTGCTGGGCTTTGCTGGTAGGGGAGAGAGCACCAAGGTCAGGGCCAGTTTTCAGGTTGTTTGCCGGCCTCCAGGTGGCAGGGAGCCTCTGCATGTTCGTTCAAAGCCACACAATCAAAACATGATTGTGATTAGGATTATTTCTCCTTTTCTTTTCTTTTTTGTTTGTTTGTTTTTTGTTTTGGTCTGTTTGCTTACTTGATGATTTTCAAAAGTAGCACTAGCAAAAGAAGCCCTTTTGCTTAGTTTTTACTTTGGTTCTTTGTTTTTCTTGCCCAGAAGCACTTCCCATTTGAACTTACTGCCTTGAGTTCTTGTGAGTGAGGTGACTGCCCTGGAGACTTAGCTCCTTTGTTTATCCACAGACCAGATACAGCACGGGCAGCGGCAGTGCAAGCCACCCCCAGCCACCCCGTGCCACTGTATCCCAACCCTGACCTGGAGGGACCAGCTCTCGGGGTAAGAGAGGGATTCTGGCTTGTTCAGTGCGCCTCGTCCCTCTGAGAGGGCAGCAAGGGTGGTGGCTCTATTCCCCTAGACTCCTGGGCATCTGCAGCCCACCCCTGCCCTTAGACCACCATGTGTCCAGCATGGTCACTGCAAGGCTGTGACAGACAGCAGGTCTTTTGTGGCTGGTGACAGTGGAGCCAGGTTAAATCCCTACAGGGGAGGCTGCATCTCTTAGGGTCCATAAGTTTGACTTCCAAGTGCAGGGAACAGTCTCTCTTACTTGACACCTTGCTTCTTGAAAACCTAGTTGTTTGTGCTCTTACCAGTAGAATCCAACCAAACCAAACTCCCGTCATTACTGCTGTGCCGTGAAAATGAAAGATTAAACAATAAATAAATAAAAAACAAACAGGTAGAGAAGTCTCGGCGACTAGGGAAAAACTAGGAAAAGGAAGAAAACTATGACTAGCCTAGTCCCAGGGAAGACTACCTCCCATGCACCCATGCTGTGCCGTCCGGGTGGCTCCCTCAAGCAGGGGATTGCGTGGAACTAGGATGGAGCTTTTCCCCTGGAGCAGCATGGGCAGTCTGCGAGGGTCTGTTCCAGCGTGGGGCTGTGTACAGGAGTCACTGGGCACTTGAGGCATCCCCACAAAGTGTGGGTCTCACCTTGAGTCTGTGTTATCGCATGCAGGCATCACTGCCTGTCTCAGCGCTGAGAATGTCTCTTGCCTCTCAGGATCTTGAAGCAGGAGCACCCTGAGCTGGCGGTCCTAGCAGATGCCGTTGACCTCCAGGAGTCCACGGGCATCGCCTCGGACAGCTCCAGTGACTCCTCCAGCTCCTCCAGCTCCAGCTCGTCCGACTCGGACTCTGAGGTGAGGGGGGCCTGGCTCGCCTGCAGGGGCTTTGTGGCTAAGACCCCTGTGCACACCAGCCCGCCTCTGTCCAAGGACTGCAGGTGCCACTGTTCCTGCAGAAGGCCGCGCCTTACCCACTTGACAGCGTTATGAGTGTGAGACCTGTCAGCCGCCGAGCTATGGGCATTTAGGGTTATAAGTGGCCCACCATGGCACGGCAAGCAAATAGCGGTGTCAGGATTCAAATTCGTATCCCATTGACCTCAAAGCACATGTGAAAAATTTTCCCTGTGGATAGTATACTGTTGACTCAGAAAACCAGCTTAACACAAAATAGTGGGTAAGAGGGTCTTATGCTTTAGTACATGAAATTTCTCTCTCTCTTTGCAAGATAGTCTCACTATGCAGTCTAGGCTGGCCTTGAGCTCACTAAGCAATCCAGGCTGGCCTTGAACTTGTAAGCCTCCTTAGCCTCTTGAGTTCACCTTACTCAGCTGATTTTTGCTTTTTTGTTTTTGTTTTTTGTTTTATTCTTTTTGAGACAGATTTGCTATGTAACAGGCTGACTTTGAACTCACTCTATCACCTAGTTTAGCTTCAGATTGTGGTGATCCTTGTGCCTCAGCCTTCCAAGTGCTGGGATCGCAGTCTTATGCCACCATGCTTAGTGTTGTTTTCTTTCACGGGTTGTCCCCTTTTTTTTTTTTTTTTTTTTTTTTTTTTTTTTTTTTTTTTTTGGTACCGGGGATGAAACTCAGGACCTTGCGCTTGCAAAGCAGGCAGCGGAACCACTGAGCTAAATCCGCAGTCCATCCCTGACTCTACTGATTCAGTCTTTTTCCAGTAGATGGGGGAGGGAGCTTAGACTATTAAGTGCTGTAGCCATGTACTTTTACACACTGAGCTCTGCGTGGTACAGGGGAATGCCATAGAAAGCTCGGAATGCCAAATGTGAGATATTTCACAGTGGGGTCTTCATGGCAAACCCATAGCCCTGTCATGAGAAACCAGTGGGGTGGCCATCAGCGTCAGTGAGAAGTCTGCAACTCTTAGGGAGCCCAAGCACGCGTGGATGCTCAGGCAGTGCTGTGGAGCTGCTGTTGGGCCGCTCAGTTCCAGGAGACAGTGATCAATATCCGTGCGGTCTCTTAGGACACAAGTTTGTTTTGCGAAGAAATGGTTGCATCCTGGTTGAGTTCTTGTTTTCCTCCCATGTCCAGTGCGAGTCTGGGTCAGAAGGCGATGGGACAATGCACCGCAGGAAGAAGAGGAGGACGTGTAGCATGGTGGGCAACGGGGACACCACCTCACAGGACGACTGCGTGAGCAAAGAACGCAGCTCCTCCAGGTGACCACACACGGCTGCTCTCTGCCTACAGGACACGCTGCGGCGAGGGCCAGGGCCCAGGGAGGGCGGAGGAGGAGGAGGAGGAGGAGGCTGAGGCCCTCGGAACCTGAACCTTTGCTCAGCATTTGCCGCAGTAGCTCTTTCTCTGCTACTGTTGCAAATCGGCAAGTGTGGTGGGTGCCAAGGCGACCCTTTATACTATTTAATAAAATGAGTCCGTTTTATATCTTCAGCACTTCTTCCTTGAGTAGTACCAAGGCCTCCGCCACTGCTCTCTCCTGTAGTTCTAGAGAAAGCAGGGCCTTTCCAGCTGGAATTTGATGAAGTGGGAGATACTTCTAAGGGTCATCTGACATCTGAGGACCCTCGGGCAGGGCTTTTTGCCTCTTTCCCACTTTACCATTGCTTCTTTGGATGCTCAGTTCAAGTCAGACAACAGCAAAGGGCTCCGATTTTTTTTTTATTACATCTTTGTCTTGTTTTACAGTTTGTTTTTTGTTTGTTTGTTTGAGACAGGCTCTCACTATGTAGCCCAGGCTGGCCTTGAACTCACAGCGATCCTCCTGCCTCAGCCTCCCAAATGCTAGAATTACAGGCATGTGCCACATACCTGACTTTTCTTGTAACATCTCAATTGCATCTTGAAGTTTTTTCTTTTTATACACAGTTGGATCTAAATTAGTTGTAGCTCACCTTCAGAAGCAGTGAGAGAATGTGCCTGCCAGACCCTGTCCTGTGGAGCGTGTGACAGGCGCATGGTGATGGTTGTCCCTGCTGTGTGCCCCTGGGGTCTTGCGATCCCAGAGACCCTTTTTCAGTGCACTGGTAGAGAAGTTGAGAGGTGAGGCTGGGGGAAGACAGTAGAATACTGAAGTCTGTAGCATTCTCAGTGTGTGAACCCTGGACTGCTGCAGATGACGTCCCCGTTGCCTTCTTACAAAAGAAAAGCAGCTGTTTTCTTAGATATCTGAGTAATACAAGTTCAGGACCCATGTTCCTTTGTGGCATTGTCTCTGTGATCCCAGTGATCCAGCTGGACCTCCATGGGGAAAGTCGGGTTCTTATTCAAGGAATTTTATCAGTCTAGAATGTACACTTCTCAGCCCTCGCTGTCCTTTTTACAGCCATGCTTAGGTTTCCTCCTGCAACTAAGTTGTTTCTGTTACATACTCGCTTCTGTATCTGACGCGTGACTTTGTAATTTGTAGGAAAGGTTTGTAGAAAGCCCCACCATCACTTCAGTTTGGGGACCCAGGGTTCCGCTGTTAACATTGCTGTCCAGCGCCGCGGCCAGCTGTGCTCTCTACACGCTGATGACAGGCGGTTGTACTTTCCTTGGCAGGATTAGGGACACATGTGGAGGCCGGGCTCATCCCTGAGCAAATAGAGACTCCCTGAGGTGGCTCTGTGTGTGCTGTTGGCTGCCATCCAACTCAGTTCTCACGTCTTCTGCTCCTACTTCTTTGTCTTCTTTGAATTTGGATCTTCCTTCTCTGGTCCAAGCTCCTGTCTTCAATCAGATGCTGGTTTTACTGCTTGCTAAGACTAGATTGCCAAGAAGTTTAAAAGCTCGGCCAGCTCAGTGAAACACTGAAGCTACCATGATGTTGGGTAAGAAAGTTCCGTGTCATCTTGTGCAGAACCACGCGGGTGGACCCCAAGGCTGAAGGGTTGTGCTCCCTCCTGCATCTCGCTCTGCCTGTCTCCTCCCTGCCCTCGGTAAGGAGCAGTGGCTGCACCAGCAGAGATGGGAGAGGCAAGTGCACTCGGAGCTATGGGGAAACACCGTGCCGAGCTTGTGTGCAGAGGCCCAGTGTGTCCAGCTCTCCCCTGCTCCGCCGTAGGACTCTGCATCTTTGTCCACTCAGGCTGCGGGATTTCAGAGGTGCCCTCTGTGGTGCATTTCGGGGGCAAGGATGACACCTGTTTGCTCACAGAGTGAGAGGGTGTTTAGTGTGCTTTGTCTCGGAACTTGAGTTAAGAACGGGGTTCCTTCCAGCAGCACGTCCTTCCCGCCTCGGAAAGGGACTTCCTTGCTGTGTCCCCCATCTTCAAAGCCTACAGTCGTCAAGCAGGCAGCTCTTGTTGCACACAGGAGAGAGACAGGATGAGGGCTCTTGGAGAGCTCTGTTGGAAAACTTGGGGATGGACCAGCAGGTTCCCCGTCTTGTCCTCTAGATTCACCTGCTTGCCTTAATCTGCCCCTAAATTCAAGGAAAACAGACCGGTTATCACTTCCTGACCCTGGGTTGTGCGCCTTTGCTCTAGGAGGCTGGCCCTGTTTTCTCCCAGTGCAGCTTTCTGCATCCTCAGACCCCAGCCCCTCCGCGTGCCTGGGTGGAGAAATCCTCTCCTGCAGAGGCTGCCACTCCCTGCTGGGCTCTGCCTTCTCTCTGGAAGGCAGCTTCCCCTGGTCCCTGGTGGGCCGGGATGTGCTTGTTTCTGAGTCAAGTCAAATCCTGAAAGTTGACATAATACTGAAGGATGTTCCTCCTACTTGAGTTTTTGTTTTGGGTCGTTGCCCCCAGTACTGGAGATGAGATGCAGCCTCCTGTGCTCCAGACAAGTGCTGTACCACTGGGCTATATCCCCAACCCGTTCAAGACAAGAACTCACCATATTGCCCATACCGGCCTTGAACTTGTCTCCACATCCCCAGTATCTGGGATTAGAGGCCTGCACCACCCTGCCCAGCTACACCTGCAGCTTTTAAAAAGACTTTTCTTGCCATCTTCAAACTACCCCTTCCCCCTAAATTTCAGCCAAAAGAAGGGCCCTGCCACTAGGGGGCGCAGTGGGATGTGTGCTCTGATGGAGCACAAATTTGAAACTGAAAGCTGGGCTCCCCATTTCTCCAGATGCTGGAGGTGATTCCTGGTTGCTAGACACCAGCAGGAGCGAGGGACCTGGCCACAGTCCTCTCCCGACAGTGCTGGACAGCACAGATTATGTGATGCTCGTGCCACCCCATGAATAGTTGTAGGGTACCGGGCCAAGGATTCAGCAGTCCACTGTGAAAGCAGGGTGAGGCGGGGGAGCTCCTTTCTTCCCTCCCACCTGGCCCGTGCTCCTCCTTTGAATCGAGTCAGCAGAAGGAAAGGGAAGGACGCAGCACGAGACCATCTCTGGGGATTATTCTCCAGGTTGGCTGCTGATCTTAAACCTGAAGAGCTGTGTCTTGGAAAAAGGGGTACTGGCAGGACAGAAGCGACGTGAGTAGGACCCAGGGCATCTAGAGGGCACTGGGCCTCTGGGAATGTGGTCCCTGCCAGCCAAGAAGAGTCCCTTGCAGCTGTGTAGATGGCCCCGGAGTCGTCAGTGGTCCTGGGATGCTGAGGGTGAGGCCCCCAAAGCAGGGACACCACTCACATTTTGTTCTTGTGCTGCCACTGCTTCATAATTCAAGCATCCTGCAAATATTGTAGGGCCAGCCAGCCATGGTGCCCACCTATAATCGCAGTACTCGGGAAGCCGAGTCAGGAGGTTTGCTGGGAGTTTGAAGCTAGCTTGTGCTACATAGTGATTCAAGGCTGGCCAGCCAAACTATACAGCAAGACCCTTTCTCCAAAAACAGTTGGAGTTCCAGGACTGCTCTGGGTGTCAGAAGTACAGCAGGGACAAGCCCGGGTTCCTGACCTCGAGGAACTTACTCGGCAGTGACCATTCATAAGGGTAGGACACGAGAGTGTGTGCACTTCCACAGCCAGAAAAGCAAGAGCCATCCTCCCTGAACACAAGCAGGCCAGTTCTTCATGAAGGGGCATGGCCACCGTACACCACGTGCTGGGTCCCAACACAGTCTCTCTGTAGAGTAGCTGGAGGCACTTAAATTCACAAAGGCTCACAGCAAGTAGGTGGTAAGTCTCACAAACCCAGAACCCAGCCCTGGATTTAGGACTTTAGGCACGAGAATGGGACAGAGCAAGTCAGTCCGTGTTGTAGAGGCGCTGTCTAGGAGGACGCACGTGAGCATACGGTGTACGTTCCGTAGTTGTGCATAGCTTTCCCCAGAGAGGCAGCCGTGATGTGTGTGCTGACACTGCTGACAGGTTCAGCAGAGTAGCTTCTTCCTCCTGGCTTTTGTCAAGATGTCCTGTTGTTGTCACACTGTTTTCAGCAAAACTAGAAGAGTATGGGCCCCTAGGTGGTACCTCTCAGTTTGTCTCATTGTTAGATCAGAAATTGGAATCACCAAGCCCTTCCCCATCTCTGGTGGGAACCAGCCTTGCCTGCTGTCTCCATGGTGACTGTAGTTGTCAAGCAGAACCCTGAGCAGTCTGGGCTCTGTGTCCCCCGTGCTGTAGCGTCTGCCATGGAGCACCTATGGGGTCTGCCATTGGGTTGGTGTTTTTTAACTTTCACTTAGATGGAACTTGTTCATTTTAAATAAAGCAACTGGATTTGGGGTTGTGTTTTCCGCTTTGTTGTGTCCTTTTCACTCTTACTTAAAAATCAATAGAACATTTGTCAGCAGAACAAGACCTCTTAAAAATACACTTTACACCAGTATTTGGCCGAAATTCCCACAGTGGTCAAAAGCCAGCAGCAACCTAGAGACAAAGCCCATTCCACCTTTTCTTCTTTGTTTTGAGAGGCTCGCACTGCCTGTTCTAGGCTTGAACTCATTATGTAGCTAGACTGGCCTCGAACTCACAGCGATCCTCCTGCCCCAGCCTCCCAAGTGCTGAGATTACAGGCGTGCGCCACCACGCCTTTTTCATCATCCACTCAAAGTAAAGCATCCTCCCTGTGATCATGAGATACAGCAGAATGAAGCCCTTCCGTGTCATAGCCAGAGCTCACGTAGCAGCCAAGAGTGTGCCTGTATCTTGTGTTTTAAAAGAAGCCCCTCATCTAGCATCGCAGTTTATATCCCAAGAAAGTATTAGATGTATGCTAAGTAAAAACTGGAAAACAAATCCTGCTTTTTTCTTTGTTTTGAGGCAGTGTTTGGCTATGTTGCCCAGGATCGACTCAAACCGCTGGGCTCAAGAGACCCTCCTGCCTCAGCCTTCCTAGTAGTGGGACTATACCTGTGTGCCACCTTGCTCGGCCACCCTGCTTTTGACATGAGGCCCTGTGTTGGGCCTAGTACCTGACAAACTGCCCAGTGTTTTGTGGGGTGATGAATTGTAGGGAAGTATGTTTTTGATTACAGCATATTTGTCTCTAATATACACTGTTCAGCAACAGCCCTGGAAGGAGTTGGAGAAAAGCAGTAGCCTCCCTTTCCCACATTCTGCGCTCCCAACCCGCATACACTGCAGAAGTGTGCAAAGAAGGCCAGCAGGGAAAACGGTGTTGACCCCCAGGACCTGGTGCCGAATTGCGGCCTGTTGGAAGCAGCCTTGTCACTGTGGGCCTGTGTTGAAGGCTGCTGGCTTCAGCCCGGGAAGGATGCGCGCGCGGTGCAGCGTCGTCTGAGAGGTGGAAGAGTCTTAGATCAGTGCTCGGGAATAAAGCAGCTGGCCCGCCCTCCCCTAAACACAGGGTGGAGAGCTGTGAGGCTTCGAGACCGGTATTGGTTGACTCCCAGAGCGGCCCGGGCCTCAATTTCCGTGGCCCGTTCTGGTTAATGAAGCTTCCCGCCCCACCGCCTTCCCCAGCTCCAAGGTGATCTTCTATACAGGGCTGAAGTGATACTGGGAGCTGATACTCTGAGGGCACCTGAGAAGTGAGAATCTCAGTGGTGTGCAAACCGAGCCTGAGCTCAGATAATCAGATTAAACTGTTCCCCAAAGCATCCGGCGGAGTCTGCCCCCGACCCGCAAAGTCCCCC